ATTTTCCATGTTTTCCTTTAAATTTTTGCGCGGGAAATTGGCGCGCGGCTGCCAAAAATGCACCCATTTGCGCATGCCCGACGTTTGACCGCTGTGTTATCGCCGCCATGATGTTTCGACGCTGACCAAAGGATCGTGGGCTCTTGGCGCGAGGTAGTTCCCAGTGCTACCCAGGCTTCCCAGAAACAGAATACTGTTGCACATTGGGTCGAAAAAAGAGACAAAAGAACCTTTGAGAGGCTTTGAGCACGGGCTCAAAGTTCATGAGTGATTTTATTACCGATTTTCGTAGAGCAGATAAGAATTTACAATGCTAAAAGACTATGGGACCCTATGGGGTTTCCACGGAAAACGCTCCAAACACTCAACAGTATTTTCTCCAGAAACAGTAACCATTAAAAAATTGGCCAATTTAACAGCAAACACTAAAAATTATGGTCAAATAACACTAAACACTAAACCCTATTCAGACCCTCAGGTAGGAATAGGCTTTCTGAGACTTTCTGGATCAGACCGGCTTTGAACGTTGGCACGGAGAAGGTGATGTGTCATTAGGGTTATTAGACCTGAGGAGAAAGCCTTTGAAAACAGGCACTGAACAAAAAGCCAAATATTCAGGCCACTGAGAACCCGAACATGGATTATGCAGCGTATGCTTAAGCAAACAACGACGGCAACGGCAACGAGAACGTCAAACAACGAAAGGTTTCGTGAGCAGAACAATGGCTTTGCACGTGCATTATAAATCGTTGTCGTCCTATGCAAAAGAACGCCGACGTGAAACAGCCAAGTTCTGCGAATTTTGGAGAACGAGTACCACGAAGACTAATTTTTCGTATTTCTTTTTGAAATTGATCACTGGCATTACCTCTTTAGTTTGAGCAGGTTTGTAGAGCGATATGGACACTAGAAAGATCTAGATAATTGCGAAATTCAAAAGGAAAAACATAAATTCATTTTTTTACTAGGCGTCGTCCTTGACGTTGCAGTCATAATTGCTTAAGCTCCCTAACAGGTCTTCAGAGACGCCCAACTCGAAATACTCCGGGAAGTGCTAGCCTGTTTTCCTGAATTCGACCTAATACTTCACGTGCGCATCCTTAAATACCCCCACTTGCGTACACACGTATCGCGTGCGCCTTGAATACCCTGCAACATGTTCAGACCATAACTCACGTGCACCGTAATTTCACGTGAAACTCCGTGCTTTTAAAATCAGTACCAGAGCCCTAATAGTATTTATATAGTTTGTTGCGTAACATAGGAAACTCATATTTTTGACAACAAACGCTGCTATTAGCTGTTATTATCACTGTCGTTTGTGCTTTGTTCTTAATTAAGTGCAGGTTGAGCACTTCATAAAGTGGCTTATTTTCTAAACAAACAGAAATTCAAAATAAGACATGAAACCTAGACAAGGCGAGTTAAATCGCTGGCAGGAAAACAAGGAGGTTGTATTCAATAGGAATACAAGTGTTGTATTCAATAAGAAGGACCCTCCGCCATTCAATTAACCCCATAAGCCGAAAATGCGAAGACACGACTTTGCAAACCGGCCGTTATTTTAGTTTCCTTTTGTCCGAATCAGTATCAATTAAAAGTTATTTACCAATTTGTACAGACTAGTAAAGGGCCTTTCTGCAAATATCTGGATCTTTTAGGGACATTTAGAAGCTTCCGAGATATTTAAAAAATAGTAGGATATTTAGAAAATTTAGGGATATTTAGAAATCTTCAAAGCTTTTTTTAGGCTCGGCACTGTGTTTTCCTCGCTACTTTCTTGAAACAATACACAGTTCTACGCCAGAAACAATACAGTTAAGCAAATTCCCACTAGAAAAAATACATTTCGTATCATTGAAAGCGCTTAAGTATCAATTTTCCAAATGGCGGATGTTCGGTGGCATGGAAGTGTCTGAATCGTCTTCTTCCTCAACTCCTACCACTGGAAGAAAAGTTTGAAGATTTTGGCCTTAGTGATTCAAAATCGGTTTATGTTTAAAACAAAAATAGGAGATGTTTAGAGGGTTTTTCTGGATATTTAGAAAATATTTTTAGTATTATGTTTAGAAACGTTTTGTTTTTCTTTTAAATTTCCGGAAATATATTTAGGCGATTTTGTATAATATTTATGGAAAGTTGTGTTTGTCGAAGTCGTGCGTATTATATTTCACAAGCACGTGAAAGTCAATTGCACGGAGTTTCACGTGAGCATTGTGAACGGGAATTCCATCCAGAAACTAAATAAACTCGCGTGCACGGCAACATTGCTTGCACAAGTCAGCTCTTCACCGTATCGTGTGGTTCACTTTGCCATCAATCTCGAGACATTCAAATGACAAAGGCGTGGCAGCCGTGTTAGATGATAGGAACAAAAGGAAATAATTCAGGAAATCTTTTACTGAAGAAAAGGTATCAAAAGTGCCACGCAGTGTTTTGAACTGGTTTTTTTGCTATGGCGGTGGCATCAGGTGAAAAATTGTTGTGTTTCGTTCGTGAGGTTCACGATGGAAAAGGTCGGACGTGCAAAGGATTTCGAAAAGGTAAGTAAAAGGCTTAGAGAAGCTTAGGAGCTAATGCGTTTTGCTGTGAAACTCTGAAGTAAGTGAAGGCACTTGGAATTGGAACGTGACAAAGTTCACACGAAGAAAGTTCCATTATATGAAAATTACTTCGGGTGAACTTTGTCATGAAAAAAACTGTTAATTTACCTGACAATAGTAGGTACATGCATTGCATTTCACAACATCAAATAGAAGACAATGGTTACCATGTATGTCGAAAGATGAACAAGAAGCTACCTCTCTGACTTGTAGGCTAAATTTTTTATGGCTAACTTCTTGATCAGTAATTAGACCAATTTGTGTGATTGATGTTTTAGAGATCGGGCGCGTGCAATGTGTTTTGATTTCATCACAGATATATTCTTTAGCTTCGAGTAGCGACGCGAAGTATGTCAGACAATATAAAGCAAAATATCGCATCTTCAGTTAAGATGACCTTAAACGACCGAAGTCAGAATGATCTATGGTAAACCTCGTGACGCAAAACTAAATTAAAACGAAAATAAACGCTGACGAAATTTTTAGGCGTTTGAATTGTCTAAATTAAGGCAGGGAGTGGTGTCTTAAGGACTGGGAACCAATCTAAGATAAAGGATTTCTACAGGCATAGATTCACCCATTTTAGCCTCATTGTTTAGCCATTACGTTTCTTAATCTGAGACCTCGAATGACCTTTATTTACGTTTTTCTAAGGATGAGGTTTTCCCAAATTTAAATCAAGCCCCCCCATGACCAACAAAAAATGGCCATGGTGCGCACAGTGGTTAAGAGCAAAAAAAGTAAGTTTTTTTAAATATTCCGTTTAAAAAGCGTAATATTTCATTCGGTTTGGTCACGAATCAAAACAAAGTATTTAGTTTTCAAAGTTCTCGAAGAACGAGCAGTATTTCGATATCGTGCACCAATATCTCGTGCCTTGGGGTACGGGGTCACATGACTTGATAAGTACCACCCTCCATTATATCGTTGCAACCCTTGGTGCATTGTGATGCGTGGCAGCCATGAGCAGCCATATTTTTTCCAAGCTCAATTGGGGACTCCTCGAGTTCAAAGTACAACTTCGCCCGCTATAAATATAGCGTAGAGGGTTCCGTTTCGGAACACAGTGTTCTCTAGGGATTAAAGTCCATTCCTGTTGCCGTCAATGACCGACAAGCTAGTTAATGGTGTGAAGCAGGCCGAGAGCTCCAGTAAAAGTGGTAATAAACAACTCTGATCGCTTGCAATTGTGTTGGTAACATCACGCACATGTTATTTTGTCCAGGTGATCTGTGTAACCGTGTTCTACTTCGTTCTTTTTGTGCAGGCGACGATGGTGAAGACGGAGCTTGCTTGATTTGTGGCGACAAGGCCACGGGCAAGCATTATGGAGCGTCGAGTTGTGACGGTTGTAAGGGGTTCTTTCGACGGAGCGTGAGGAAAAATCATGTTTACGCTTGTCGTTTTCAAAGAGCTTGTGTGATCAACAAGGATAAGCGGAATCAATGCCGCTACTGTCGGTTACGAAAATGTTTTCGGGCCGGCATGAAGAAAGAAGGTGAGAAAAACGTAAGCGGTAGCTTCATCATTTAATATTTGTGCCTGCGTGGGATTTGGCCATCGTTGGCCTTCGTAGACTGCACTTGATATAAGCTCAAGTTTATTGCTTTGAGATTCAACAGAAAGTTCATTTTTTTTCGCATACACGTACTCGATTTGGGGTTGTTAGAGTCTTAAAGAAAGCATTTACTTTATGTTCAAAGTCTGATCCAAATCGTCATCAAAGTTTGTAGTTTTTAACCCAGTTTCTTTTCCAGCAGTTCATGTCTGTTTGAACTGGTAACACAGTCAGCTTAATAATTTCTTAAATCAACGTTCGCGTGTTTGGGGGTTTGTTGTGAAAATGCAAATCAGTAAGAGTTAAGCATACATATAAACGATAAAATAATCCCTGAATGAACGTGGCGGACAAAGGGCTTCAGATTAAGAATTTTCTCAAAGCGTTAGATTGTCTCTTTGGAGATAGAAAGTTGTGTAAACTGAAGATAATTAGTTATGTAATCAAGTTGTGATTGGAGTAAACCATTTCGGATTTTGTGAAAGGCCGAGCTTGTGCATTCCTTTATTGCTACTCTTCAGGGATCTGCTACAAAGAAAGAAAAACAATCTTTGAAGTAGCCTTCAATAATATTGAAAATAAACTCACTTAGCCAGAAATAACATTTTGCAAAAATATAATGTGTACCAAGGGATCATGGGTTTCTTTTCATTTGATACCATATAATCAAGGAGTGGAGACTGGAAAATAGGTGTTATGCTTAATCCTTGTTAATACAGGATAGGTTTTACAGGCGAATTTGACACAAGAAGCCCTTGAAAGTGTAGAGGTGAATTTTGGTATCAGAAACAAATTATGAGCATGTTTTACCACTCCTTCCACCTTTCAGTATGGTAACGAAGTTGGCGTGTCTAGCGGCATTTACATGATGTGAATTATAATAAAGAATTGGATGAAAGAGCAGAGAGAAGGGTTCGTGGGTTGATCAGTAACAGCAAGTTGCAAAAACAGACCTTTTAGGAACTGTTAGGAAGGATGGTTCTTTCACCTTAATTTTATGATGCCATAAGAACATTCTTTAGAGTCAGCCCCACTGGGGCTATAATAAACAAAAACAGACAGTAAGAATTATCTTCACGATAATAAATTAACAAAGTGTCAAACTTAACTGCGCTTTCCCACTAAGTAAGGACACTATGAAACGATAATCACACTAGAACTAAAAATTTATCTTATTATTAAAATATCTCCTTAGGGCTAAAATCGTTTTTAAAGTACTAACTATTCATGAAATGGGAAAAAATCTTTATTGAAGGTTACATAAGCGACAAAATTGTTGAAATATTATACTAACATGATTTTGGAGTCCTAAAGACGGTGTATATCACTTGACTTAACTCATGACCCACACAAGATGACATCCTGTGATGAAGTATAATACTAGAAAAGTAAAAATATGTTAATAATTAAATTTAGAAACAATTTTCAAAAGTAATTTAAAATGTGTTAACTGATTTGAACAAGAAGTTGAATAAAGCTTAATTAAAACATGGCTAACAGAGAGGAATGTTTATGAAACCTGCAGAGTTCTTTGATTTATGTTTTTGTTCTCATTTTTGGCCTTGACCTTGCACAAAACACAATAGTTGTTCACTACTGACCGAGGAACTAACCAAGAGAAACATGTCGATTACGTAATTTATGTAAAGTGTATGAGTGCAAAACAAAAGATTGTGCATGGTCATGGACCTTCCAACATAAATCTTGTCATCTTTTTTGTTCCTTTGATGTTTGCCGGGCTTCATAACCATTCCCCTTTGCAAACTATGATTAAAACAACCAACAAGCAGTCAAAGATTAAAATCTTGTTTTGTGCTCGAAAGATTAGAATTTACATCTAATTTCTTGTTTGCTTAATTATTATTGCATATCTGCAGAATGCACTTTCCATGGAAAATATAATGTGCATGATTATTTAATATATATCATCATGCAGGTCAATCATATTTTTGCATTCCTGTTGTAAAACATGTTTGAGATACATGTATCTTTTGCCTTTGAAAGCTGAGAGAAATTCTCAAACTATAATTTGTCTCTGGGTTTGAATGTTGTATTAGCTCTTCCTTTCTGCTCAGGTATATGTTTCTTTACCCTCTACAAAATAATTGCAATCAATTGTATTTGATATTTTGCTAAGCACAAGTCAGGAAAAAGAGACATCATCTGCTTCAAAACCTTTTTTCTGCTGTTATCTGTGATGATTATGTAATGTACAAAACACCACCGACGGTGCATCATCACATTTCCAAACAACAAGAAGAGATTTGAAAGTACAATGCACAGCAAAGTATCAATGAATTTTCAACGTGTTTGGGATTGCAAGGCAACAGTGTCTCGATTGTTCAATATATCTCCTCAATCAACACTGAAACTAAGGAGAAAATGGAGAAATAAAGTTATAAGTAAAAATCTCTGCTAATTGCGATCAGATATTCAAACAGTCACAGCCATGATTTACTTTGTTTAAACTTGATGAATTATTAATGATTTGAGAAGCAAGGGTTCTGTAATCCTCAGATAAAAAAAGTATCAGTTCCTTTTTTGTATAATAGATATTCCTGAACATGAATTTTGTTCCTGAACCATTATGTTTACAAAACAAGATAAGTAATGCTATTTCACAGTGTCACCTCTCTTTGCAGCTGTTCAAAATGAGAGGGATACCATATCAAAAAGGCCTCGTGGAGAGGACCCAGAAAACAGACATGGCCTCACAACTGGTGTGTTATTATCAGCTGAGATTTTGTCCCGACCTGCAACTTCACCTCCAGGTAGTTTACTTGGATATGTCTTAGGTAATGATAAAAAACTTGTAAAGCATCAAATACACATCCAAATAATCTTTAATACATTCTGTCTGGTGTGATATGACTTGACCAACTTGATTGGCTGCCTGTGCATATCTTGTGCAGCATCAATCATATAGATAACCTCTGGCTTGGTCCATAAAATTTGATTAATTAATGTAAAACTCTTTTTATTTAGAATTGTTGATGTCTTTGGTTGAGAGGACAGTGCCACAGGCTACTAACTTTTACCTTTAGGCCACTGGAAAAACTTACTTTTTCATACATGTATGAACTTAAGTGCAGGGCACCCAGGATTTCATGGTTGGGAACCTTTGGACCCCTTGTAATTTTTCTTAGACCACAGCCTTGGTTTATCAATTACGAGAATACTGTATGTATTAGGTGTGAGTTTCATTTTTGCATTTGAAACTTCACTAGTGACATTTGTAGGCGTATTATGAAATTTTGGTGCTTGCAGTTATTGCCTGTTAGTATTTTGGGGGAGACTAGACCATCACATGATGAATTTTTGATGACCTAATTTTGGTAATTTAGCTTGTTATAACTGAAAACTTTCTCCCTAGTTATCTACCTAGATATCTATGTCTACGTAGATAAGATATAAGACACATAAATATTGAGGAGAATTGTTGAGGTGTTTTCCGTCCATAAGATAAGGAATTGTCTGTACTTATCTTCTCATTAGAAGCATATCCCCAGAGCCCTCCAGAGCCCCCATACAAATCCCCCAGTCACAAAGTTTTTGGTCTCCCTCACTGACCTAACATCAATCACCTGTATTTCAAAAAAACAGAAAGTATTTGCCTGGACAAGGAAGCAGACTATAGCGATATTTGCGAGTCAATGCGTCAACAACTTCTGGTGTTAGTGGAGTGGGCAAAACACATACCAGCCTTCTGTGAACTGTTACTGGATGATCAAGTGGCCTTACTACGGGCACATGCTTCCGAACACTTAATACTGGGTTGTGCACGACGCTCTATGAATGTAAAGGATGTTTTGTTACTCGGAAATGACCTTGTGATACCAAGAACAGCGGCAGACACTGAAGTACGGAGAATAGCGATTCGTGTCCTTGACGAGCTGGTTGAACCCATGAAAGAATGGAATGTTGACGATACTGAACATGCTTGCCTCAAAGCTATTGTGTTCTTTAATCCTGGTATGTTATTGTTAGACAAAGGGCTGGAAGCATTTACCATGTTCAACATGTTGACCTGTAGGTTCTGTTTGATTTTCTCCAAAATGAAAGCCCAGCCAGGAAAAATACTGGGCAGTGCTTTTCAAATGAATTGAAGGCCTCATGCAGATTGAAACAGAAATATCTGAGCAAGAGAAAAAAAGGCATTAATTTGGCACAAAGTGGTTATGCTCACTTCCCTTCAATTGTTTTGGTTTCTTTGTTTGTTTGTCGTTGTTTTATTGGGCTTCAACCTCCATCCACCCTCTGTCATTTTTGTTGGTTACTCTTAGGTACCTCTTTCTTTTGAGAGTTGTTACGTTTTAATCAAACAACCCCTTGCACAAGTGCTAAATGAAATGTAAATGTGAAGAATACAGTCATGTCAAACAATGTGAACTCACAAACAGCAGACGCATTAGTGGTTTAGCTCCAATAAAGGGCACGAAAAAAGTGGAGCCTATAATAACAGAATTCAAAGTCGTCATTGTAAACAACGGAAATATCTCAAAGGAAACAATTGCTAAAATTTGGCTTTACATAACAGTAATATTTTGGTGAGCTGTGTTGCTGCACAAAATTCCCTGTAAACACACCAAGTGTCAATCTTGTGATCATCAGTTCTAATCTGTTGCTGCATTTTATGTCTCTTGTGCGCTAGATGCAAAGGGACTGAGTGATTCTGCGAAGATCAAATCATTAAGATTTGAAGTTCAGACCATGCTTGAGGATCACATTGCCAAAGACCAGTATGATAGCCGCGGCAAGTTTGGGGAGCTGCTCCTAATGCTTCCAACAATGCAGAGCATAGCCAAGGAGATGATTGATCAAGTGCAGTTTGCGAGACTGTTTGGTGTAGTTAAGGTTGACAACCTTCTTCAGGAAATGCTACTTGGAGGTTGGTTTCACATACACAGTTGAAAATAAATAGGCACATTGTGACCAGGAAAATTGACTGCTTAGGAGGGGTGTGATTTTATGGGAGGTTAGAAATGTAGTTTCCATTCCTTCATTTGTGATCCATAGCAGTGTACTTTTCATCTTGCAAAACATGGGAATCATCGTTTCTTCTGCATGTAGCGTTCTCCACCATGTTAAAAGTGGATGGATTTGTCACTCAGTGTTGATAAATTCTTACACTCTTATTCATTTTCACAGGTGCCAATATTGCTGAACAACTTGATGCAGCAAGCATTGTGCCTCCATTGGCCTCAACCCCTCCCTCTTCAACTCCAACAGCTCAGTCCCCAGTGACCACTCTTCCCTCATCCCATCCCGAGTTATTCAACCCAGGTTTGACATCGCCTGTGAATATACCAGGCCCCAGTGTGGCCTGTCCAATGCAACCAGTACCTATAGTCCATGACAGAAAATTTGTGGCTGGCCCCTCCACATCTCTTCCTGGAGGTGTTGTACCAAAGACAGAGAGATTTGATACGTGACAGTGATTGTGATAGATAAAGAGAGTGCGCATAGCTAGGGTGTGGCTGTTGTTGAGTCGTTAGACTTAGAACAGAACCAAGTCACAGGGCACTGAATAGAGAATAGTCTCACATGCTGTAGACACCAGGTTAATGATAGCAGGTCTCATTTTGCAGCTCTTTCCCAGGTTGTCATGTAAAGATGCTCCCACGAATGAGTACAAGCCTGTCTAACATGTATTGTGGTTATGCAAGGTATCTCTTCATGAATCCACAACATCATGATTAATGTATTTACCTTCAAACAGTCAGTGCTTAAACAATACGGGTTTCCATGTGGAGCTGGTCACAACTGTTTACTACCAGACTGTGCTGTTCTTATTTCACATTTCTCTGCAAGCGGTAAACTGTTCTGGTAAAGACTTTATCAAGTCTGCCCCTTCATACAACTGTTTATCAACCCCCTGCAAAACTATATGTACTGATCATAGAAACCTGGGTAAAGCAAGGAAATTGAGTCTGCTGTATTTTCCAAAAAGGAATTTAAAATAGTAGATTCATGTATTAATTATTAACTCATTTAAATCACATCTTGTACAATGTGTGATTTAGTTATTTAAATTGACCAATGGAGAAGTCACTTCACTAATGATAGTGGTTTGGCTTTAGAAGGCAGTTAGAATTTGTTACAATAAAGTAGGAGCAATGGACTACAGCTGAGGTAGTACGATTTTTAGATCCCATTAAAAGTTCTGGTTTGGAGAGGTTATTTTTGTAATGAGTTAGCTCATAGTCTGAAAAGGGGCTTTATTAAATACATCGGAACTACGCCAGTATGACTGCCTTTGGACCATAAAATATTGAACTAGGGGTGGTAAGACAAAGGAGTTGTTAAAAAGAAAATGACTAAGCATTTTCTTTGGGCCAAAAAGAGTGCCTTTAACAGTGACATAAGTAGAGTGGTCATAAGGCGGAGTTCCACTTAAGCTTTATATGTGCATTGTACATTGTGTAAGGCCAGATTTGACTTGAAGCTGGAAGTTGCAATTTTCTACCAACAAGAGTGCAAATATGAACAACTTTTACTGACACTTTTCCACAGTCATGTGCAGCTTTGCAGATCTTTTGTTTGGTACTTCCTCTGCTGGTTCCACAAAGGATTTGTGCAACTGGGTAACAGGATGATCTTGTCATGAAGAACCAGTTATTTTTAAGTCAATTAATTGTTTTAATAGGAGGAAACACCATTTAATAATGAACTCAAAGTAGATAGCTTCTGGCTAAGGATTATCAATTATTGATCCTTAACCTGTAGTCATGCTTTGTGTTATAGGAAATAGGCCCCTTTTATGGGAGGCATTTTGAATTTTTGTCCTCCTTTGTACATAGTCAAAAAATATTAAACTTTATTTTGAATGCACTGTATGATAGCAGACCAATTTAAAGGGCAAGTCAGTTAGTTTGTAATTTTTTAAGCTTTGATGCTTGTGGGAATGCATCACACTAAGGCATCTGGCATCACACTGAGATAGAGCACCAATTAATGGTATGAGCTTTCACCAGACTAGGAAAAAAAAGTAAGAAGTTTCCTTTCTTTGCTATTGACCAGAATGCAACTTCTCTTCAGAGTGCCAAGATTACCAAGGCTAAAATATAATTTGCTCACTACTGCAATGTAGTTACGGAGAGTTGATTATTTTATTGATAGCCTTATGAAGACAGGAAGTTCTGTTACACTCCCAAAACACTATTTTGGGAAATTGTTATCAAGTAAGAATTAATCATTTTTTCGCATTTCATGTTTACAACATTTTCTTGTCAGTGCAGGAAATCAATTCAGTCTACCTTGAAGTTATTATTTCTAGGACTACTTAATTGCCGAACTTACACACTTACTTTGAACAATTTGCCTAGAGGTTTCAGTCCAGGAAAAAGAAAAGAATTGCCAACTTAAATATTACTTTGGTTGGTCTTAGGAAAACCAAATAACTAGATTTAGAATTCCCTAAAAATAATAACCTTAAGGCGTTTATTGAATAACTGCACTCATCTACATGTGCAATCTAGGGGTATCTTGAATGAATTGCTACTAGACTTCCTGTCACCTAAAACACTGGTCCATAGAAAGAAAGCTTACTGGATTCTAAAATGTTTCATTTACTTCCTAACTTGCCAAAGACGACATGTACATGTATCTTGTGTCATGAAATAACACACTACAGGCCATTTTCATCATCACACGCTATTTCTGCGACATTATTTTCTAGATTCAGGATTGAGAGGTATTTTTGTGCTACATAAGGTTTATTAAGCAGGTTATCTTACATATCCAAACATATCTGACAGTATTAAACAGGAAAATAAACAGATTTCCCCTTTTTTAGCACGGCCTCGTCTCTTTAATTGGTGTTGAGCAAACATGCCATAACTCCCTTCCTACAGACCCTCCTCTCACTCTAAGTAGTTTCATATCTTTCTGTGATCAACAATTTTAAGGACATTATAATCTATATTAGGCTACCTTATTGCATTGCTAGCTCCGTGAGCGGACAAGGTGAATCAAATCCTGCGCCGTGATGGCCTACCCAAACAGGCAAGATGGAGCTATCTTGCCCGCTCCTGACTACCCGCCGTGTCCCGCAAGAAAAATTTCCCCGAAAGCCATATAATAAATCCTTTATTGACCAAGCTTGTTCCGTCAAGGTGGCTGGATATTGGCCTCGTTCTTTTTTTTATGAGTTTATGGACCTTGACTCCGTGGCATTATATCAGCTAAAAAACTCAAGCCATCTAATAATAGTATTGAATGCCTTTGTATACTTTTGAATATCTCTGCACACCCTTCAACACTCTTATATACCCTTGGAAGACCTTTGTACATCCTTGAAAACCCTTCCGGAATTTCTATACCCTTGAATACCCTTGAGTGCCCCGAGTGCCCTTGAATACCCTTGTACACCAATCAATACCCATATTTCCACCTTTGAATACCCTTGTATACCGTTGTATACCCATGTCAACCCTTGGATACCCATGTATACCCCTGCATACCCTTGTATGCCCTTACATACCCCTGTAAACCATTGTATACCCTTGTATACCCATGAAAAACCCTTCTGCAACCCTTGACTATACACATAAATTGGCAAGGTCCACTTTATAAACAAACTAGAAGCACTGGCTCCTGTAACTGAATATCCTTGTTTATGCTCTTGTATGTCCTTGAATACCCCTGTGGGGTGTGGCAGGCTGCACTTTGTCTGATGGCCTTGAGTTAATTAGCAGTTCTCTTCATAGTTAGCAGAGGTCGCCTCTGCCAACTATGTTCTCTTTTAATACAGGGATGACCTCTCTATAATTAGGAGTTGATTTACAGATCCTAATTCTTGTAAAAGTGATTCCTGTGCATGTCAGTTGATAAACTGTTGGTAACCTCCCAGTAAGACCATCTATGAAGTATGAGTGGGCTGTTTGGTTAAAGCATTTCTGTATTATTGAAGGCACTTAAATAAATTATGGAAGGTACGGTTTCATTAGGCAAAGTGGGTGGATGGTCACAATCAAGAGATCTGAGTTTGAGCATTAGCTGGAGCTATTATGATTTCTTACTTGATCAAGCTTCTCATGAAGGTAAAAATAAACATCTGCATTGGGCCAATGTCTCTCAAAATACCAGAGCTCCAACCACAGTTTCTGTAGCAACTTGCACAGTATTTCTTTTCCCCACAACCTGTGGATGGGACTCTAGTCCATTTCAGGGTTACCCCAACACTTTATCAATTCCTAAACCTGGGTGGAGAGAGTCACTGGGGGAGTAAAGTGTCTTGTTCAAGAAATCAATGTAATGACTCTGGCCAGGTTTTTTCGTCTAGACTCGCGTGCATCAACTATTAGGCCAGCACATACCTCCTTTAGCCAGCATATGCTTGGGCTACTTGCCTAAAAAAAATCAAATCAGAAACAAAAGTACAAACTGTGTAGATACACTTGCTTTAATTTATTATAAATTTTTCACAGCTTAATTTACATTAATTTTGCAAAAAAAAACTATTTACCAATAATTCTTAGAAGTGCTATGAATCAATCATAGAGAACTGGTCATTCCTCAATTCCAATTGGCTATTAAAAAGGTAGCAGAAACCACACATTTGGTGCTATTGAAAGATATAACAAAGGAAACAATTGAATGAACCATTTCACTGTTCTTTAATGATTTATCATGAATATTGACAGTGTTGAGTGAAATGTCTATCACAACGATACACTATGACTGAAACTGTGTGAAACAAAATACTTCTTCTCAAGTTTGTGATCTTGCAGTGCCTAGTTCCCTCTACCAGACATGTCTACGGGGAATGATCATGATGGTAGCTATGGCATGATGAACTCGTGGGTTTGTTTTGTTGAATATTAACCACCACAATTCCCAGAAGACAAATCTTGATTTGTTACTTGTCATATGCAGGCAGCTCCAAGATCAAATAGACTTATCAGACTGTATTTTTGGTCAAAACAGTGCTTAATTATGACCAAGTACCACTGTACGATGAGCTATAGTAACTATGCCAAATGTTTTCATTTTGACATCAAAACCTGCCTATGTAACTCAGTACAACACCCCTGTTAAAGCTTCAGCACACATACAGTTATTTATAACAAAACTACACTTATTTATTTTTTTTTTTGAAGGTTGCTATCAATAAAAATAGTTCTTTTAGATTTTGACTTTTCAAAGTTTAGCTTATAACAGTGTCCCTTTAAAACCTTAGACATTGTGCATGTAGTACTTTCACCTATTCTATTCATTAACTGCAATTATCTACAGCCATCCTGTAACCTAGATGCAGAGATATATTAAAAATGTCCTTACCAAAAACTATACAACCATTCTCTTCCTTTTGGAATAAAGTTGCCATGGTAAGTTCATCAACCTGTTTAACTCAACTTCACAAGTTTTCAAATCAACTTAAGATCTAATATTTGTAAAGTATGCATTTCTATTAAAGCATGGCTTTCTTTCCTTGCCACCACAATCTTGTTCACTGCTGTTTGTTTTGGTTTGCACACAGTGCTCTGTGATGGGCCAAATGACCACTGCAACAGTCAAGTCGAGTAAGGTGGAAATCAATTGATACAATAATGTGTTTCACACGAACAAATGTTTTGTTTGTTCACATCACTCTTGTCAATTTGGGAGGTACAGTGACCTTGTGGCTGGTGCACTCAATCCAAGTTTGAGCACTGGCCAGGAATACAGTGTTGTGTTCTTGGGCAAGGCACTTTACTCTTGCAGTGTTTCTCTCCACCCAGGTGGGTACTGGCAAATTTAATGCGGGGGGGGGGGGGTAACCCTGCTATGGAGTAGCATCCCATCAGGGGGGAGTAGAAATACTCCCAGTAACTTGTCACTCACGTCATGCTATAGAAACTGGAGATAAGCTCCAGCTTGATGTGCCACTTGGCTCATATGCAGACTACCTACTTTCACCAATTTGACTAACTCCTGTCAATTATTTAGCAAATTAGTCACTATTTTGCTAAATAATTGACTTTTTGGCACTTTTTCAGTTACTCATAATTAAAATTTTTGCACTGTAACATTCCTCTCACACCTTTTCACACCATTCAAACAACAAATTTTACTCAGCTGTGAAATAACTCCATTGAAAGTAATTTATGGCAAGTTTCCATGATTTTGCTGTAGAATGTGACACTAAAAACTCCTTTCATTAGTTCCTTGTTTATCTGTTTATTATTGGCCAAGCAGAGCCCCATACTCAAAAAGAAAGAAAAGGAAACCCATAAGTTGATTTTCTCGTGGTTATCATTGCATTGCTCTTGGGCATGTATGCATGATGACAACGACGACGACGAAGTCACACAACATGGTAGCTCCAAATAATCAGCTGGCAGAGACCTGCAACCTTGGTTTACCGTGTAATTCTTTGATACTGGACATCCATGTTATGATCAATTGACACCTGTCAAAACAAGGTATCCGCTGACCAGCATCACATGACCATATCGCGGGCTCAAGTTTAGGGCTCATCGAGGTCACATTTTTTTTTGAAGTTGACCGCTGACCAAGTACTGGTTTTTGATTGGATTGTGGGCTCATGACAGGTTAACTTGTTGAAAACGGGGCTGGGTTGTTCGGAAGCTGGTTAACCCTAACCCAGGATTAAAAGTTAACCGAATTATAACTTTATCTTCTGTACAAATGTTTTTTGCTGCTTTGTTTTGTGTATATTGTGATTACTAAAACTCAAAACAGAAGGCCAAACAATAAACAGAAAACCTCACCGCAAAGTTACAAAACTCAAATCAAAATTCTACCTTATCCTGGGTTAGCTTAATCAGGCTCTGAACAACCCGGTCCAGGAGCTACACTTTAAGGCTGGCCTAAATCTATGTATTGTCATTAGCAGGACAATGAACACCTGACCAACACCTTGCATTTTCACCTGGAGGGTCTCCCACATGAAAAGGCTGGGAATGCTCTACAGAAAATTTCAATTAAACCCCGAAAGGAGAGCAATCTGGGCTTAGTTCAAGCTTTATTTGACTTCTAAAAAATACCACTTCAAACAATAGGCTTGATTACCAGCTGGTCTTCTGGAAAGGAGCCCAGTTTAGTAGACTGGACTCAAGAGTGACAAAAATCGTGCCTAAAACAGAAATGATTGCATTTTTTAATTGTTATCTTTTCGAGTGCAACCTAAAAGATACTTTGACAGCTAAAAATAGTCCGGCATTTCATCATGAATGCCCTAAGTGAGACCAGAATCCTTGATTGATACCCCAAAGTGAGACGACAAGCATCCCCAACCTTTTCATATGGAAGTCCCATCAACAGGCATATTCAGAGATACCTTACATTAACCTAGGGCATATTCTACAATAGAGGGGAAAAAATATAATCAGTTTTATCTATTGTTATAATTATCTGTTACATTCAACACCTATTTTGATGAAAACAGTCCCTATTAAAGAGTACCCCTTGGGGACACAACAAACTTTCTTGATCTAAGTAGAAATTTAGAAGTTCCTATAAAATAATCCCTAGCTGTTGCCTTCTAAATGGTTAAATATGGATGAAAGTTAATGTTGCATCTTAAATTGCTGTTGGTTTGAAATTTGTGTGCTGTTTGTTGTCCGATTAAGTTAAACAAGTTTTAAATTTGAAAAACAAATGTAACCAATGCACAACATACCCGTATATACAAACGTACAAACTATAAGCTTTGGTGTTCTGTATGTACAAAGTAGGGATATTACTTGCCAAAAAAACCTTCATTTAGTTACATAATTTTTTCCTATTAAAAAACTTTTTAGTAAAAGGGTGCAGAACTCTAAACATACTATTTATGTAAAGGTAACAAAGCTGATCTCATTGATAAGTCCGCCACCACAGCCATCAATGGTCATCAAATTAATGTGTTCTTTTTGGTCATGAGTAACACTTTGGCACACAAGCTGATGCATTGTTGCTGTGTTGATGTTGGGTGAGCCAATATGTTAATAGTAAGTCAGTGGAGGGTTGACCACCATGTTGGTTCAGACGTCTACTTATTATTGTTTTTTACACCTGAATTTGTGATTCTATTTGGCACAATCTTCCTTGAAGGTTCTAAGCTCAAAAGCCAGTTGTATGATTTTAAAAACTTAAAAGATTTCTGTGTAAGAGACGGATGGAGCGACGGCATGGAGGGTTATCCTGGGCTGTTGGTTCCTCATCTTCATCATCATCATCACTCTTTCTCTTGTATCTCCATAAGCCAAGTGTCCCATCCCACTAAAAAGATATTCAAAAAGCCATTTAGTTCACACTAACTGAGCAGCAGGTCTGTGAGAGATCTTGATCGCCATCTTGTGTACTGACAGAAAAAACACTGAGGTCCTTAATAACTTAGTCTAGTAATTACTCTTCAGAGGGAAACCACAAGAGGAAGCAATAAGTGACTTATTAGTACCATCTTGTCTTTTGCTACTATTATTATTATTATTTATATGGACTAGTAAGAAATGATGGCTCACCGAAGTGCTGACAATCTCATTTTCATAAGGATGCCATGACACATCCCGGACAGCTTGTCTCTGTTAAACAGTCAAGGTTAACATGTGCTCTTGCAGGGGTCTCTTGTAGTCAAATGGGCAGAACATTTTTTCATATGCTCGGTAGTTAAATATATTAATATAGACTAAATCAAGAAGGCAACAAATTCACAACACCATGCAACCAGTGAGTCTGAGGAGGTGGCCATTCCTATTCAAAACAAAATACAATGGCAAGGTTCAAAGGCTCACAGCTCTGCCTCCTATGTGGTCCCAATTATATCTATCTACCCTTCTCTCATCTTTGCCTCACCCAGGTCAGTCACAAAAGAGCACATTTGAAACACTGACTTTCTTTGATCTCTCCACTCCCTTCATCTGATGCCTTTTACATTACTTAATGCTATGGGATTTTGCAGCAGGAAATAATAGGTGCTGAATGGGTTTCTCTCTTTCTTTTCAAGATTCTGAAATCATAATTCAGTACAGCATTAAAAATGATCCATGTGAAGATCAAATCTTGGCCTCAGCCGAGGGAACTGCTTGATGATAAGTTACAAGACAGTGGGAGTGCAAGAGAGAAACCATGGAATGTAGGAGATGTAAGGGAATCAGGAGAAAAGTTTCAATTTCACATTTGACAGTGTTAATAAAGAAATAATGTTTATAATAATGTTACATTGCACTGAATTTTTGAGATTTCCTGACCAAAAGACAAGGAAATGAAGTTATTATTAATAATTGTTATTATGTAAATGACTACACACCAGTTAATTTGTGCTTGACAGAAAAATAAGAGCACAATGCTCTTTATCATAGCAAAGGATACATGTCCTGTTAGTCTGGAAGTTATTTTTCCAGTCAACCCATCATAAACTACAAGACAAAAATAAGAAGAAATTAAGGACCAAATCTCTAAGAATTATAGGGAACGATCGTGATTTTGTTTGCAAACTGGTCAAAGGTGGTGCCTTGCATCAGTTTGCAGAAAATTTTATTTTTAATTATTCATCTACAACAAACGATTAAAGGTACATTATTTACAGTGTACCTTTACGCCAGGACGTCAAAGAATGTTTAAACAATTTAATAACTAATGAGTTAGCTATTATCTGATGATTACAACTGGGAAAGATCAGTCAATGCACTTACTGACAACTGAACCTGTGGAGCATCCAGAATAAATGTACCGCTAGAGGACAAAATAAAGGCAAAATGAGCATAATGAGTAAGTTTTATAGCTCTACAGATAAACCATTCAGTGCATTTATTAATTACAAATCAAGAGTTCTGGCAGTATAAACAATGAGCAAATGAAAGCAAGGTCCTCAACTTTATGGATCTGTGTAATGCATTCTTCCTAGAGTGGGCAATCATAGCAAATATACACCTTATTCCAAAATGGCAGCCAGTTTATTATTCCTTTGTTTACATGGTAATTAGCCCTCTTTGCCTCGTCAAAATGTACAAAATACAAAAGAATTTTGAAGTGAAAATGAGGCAAAGAGGGCTAATTAACATGCAAACAAAAGAATAATAAATTGGCCGCCATTTTGGAATAAGGTGTATATACATGCAGTATCATATAGGCTGGTAGACAGTGAACCTATTAATAGCTAGTAAATACTCCTTCATACACACAGAGTGCATATGGTAATTTTACCTGCCCTGTTGTGTGCATAGGCGAGAAGTAACAGCGAACAAGAGTGTGCAATACACTGTGGCCACGGTATGTCATAAGTGATGAATCCCCATCTAGTCTGGATCGTCTTACAGCTGGAATGGAAAGAACAACAAAAGGTTCAGCAAGTTACTTTATTGGTTATGAGCTGCTAAATAAGCTATAGTTTAGGGGTATACCTAATATAGTAGAAAGTTGATACATTTTTGAAGTCTTTCATTTTCACATTTTAAAGTGCTCAATTTCTCTCAAAATGTCTACCTCATTCATAGCTGCTGATGTCAGTTCTTAATTAAGCTGATCAGTGGCTTTCAAATGGCAAATTGTACACAAGCAGAGTGTCCTTATTTGATGATTTGAGAAATACCGCTGTTCACCTTGGGGGTAAAGGGATAATAATTGTGTTTACCCTATCATTTTTTTTCACTAACTATTAATTTTAAAAGCCCTTCACTATCAGTTAATTTATTCAGTATTACTCTAAATGTACAGTTGTTTCCCAGAAACAGACCTGATGAGGAATGACCTTTCATTTCAAAATTTTAAATACATGATCTTACATTTTCTGGGAACAGGTTGCCAACGATAGTCCCACCTTTGACCCGCTACAGCACGTTTTGTAGCCTGCAAGACACGTAACAAAATAACGACAAACTCAGTAACTTAATGAGCATTTAAATTTTCCAAAATGTCTGCTTATAAAAGCTGAAGCCAACAAAAATAAATAAACAAATAAATAAATAAATAAATAAATAAATAAATAAATAAATAAATTCTGTCAGAAACAATGAAAGTCAAAATAACCGATCCTAAGTACATGACAGCTAGCACACAGTCCAGCAATAACAACACATTGGCAAGTAATAACCCTTGATTCAAGGAGTGTACTTTGATGTGAAGTATTAAAACTACAAAATTGCGAGTCTAATGTTAGTTTTACACAAGCACCAGACTCACACAGATGCCTTCTTCATCAGAGAACTTTCTCATGTCCCAGAGTTTGATAGCCTGATCTTTGGAGTTGGTGATGAGATGCCGCCCATCTCCCTGATAGTAACAGTACACAGGCATTATTAGTATGTGGAAAGCAAGACCTAATTATGAGGTTCAGGACAACGATCTACTTAGTAAACATCCTATGGAGCACAATTGCTAAGGAGTAGAGACACCATGCAATGACCATACTGATAAGAAAAAATGCTCTAGAATTCTTATCAAGCTTTTGAAAATTCAGTTACCATCAGTTACCCATCTACCCAAAGGACTCTGGATTGAGTGAGTCATAACTTAAGTGTTGAGCCCTTGTGCAAGAAATTGAAGAAATTGCAGGTAGAAAATTACATGTTGGGGGGCAACCCCATGATATAGAAGCATCACATTCAGGGGGCAGTTGAAATACTTCCAGTCACTTGAAGCTACTTAATAATTTCTTCCTACCCTTGGATCAATGTGAGTGATGCCATCTGCATGTCCTGCTAAAACACCAACTGGGCATGGACAGCTCTCAACCAACTGCCGACGATCCCAGACCTTCACCAAGGGAAAACATAAATTATGTGATAAGTGATAAGTGTGCAGTACATATAATTGTAGTGTATGGTACATGTAGGTTGCAAAGGATAATGGTTAGTGTAGATCTACACGTATGTGTCACACCTCTCATTTGCTTTTGCTAGGGAATACAACTAAAGTTTCTTTTCAACTTAATTGACATATTATAAATTAAATAATATATGGTATTGACTTTAGACGCACAGCTTCATTGTAAATAAGTGTTTAGCTTTATGAATTCCACGCCTAATGAAGTGTTTGTTTTGATTTAATCATAAGAGTTACGCCACCTGACTAACAGTAATAGTATGTTGGACTCAGGATACAGTGCCCTGTGTTCTTGGAGAGGACAGATTTCACTCAGTGCCTTTCTCAACCCAGTTGTATGAATGAGAACCAGTGAATGTAATGCATGGGTTACTCTGTGATGAACTAGGACTACCATACTTCTAGTCAACTTCATGCTACAGAAACCGGGGATACATGTTAGTGAAGGCTCAAACACAGACTTTCCCAGGTATCTTACACTGAGCATTGAAAAGGTAAACATCCACTGATGACTTTCCAGTGGTATTGTTTTCGGCACTTTTGAACATCAAACTTGAGCCCTTTTAGCTTAGTTGACTTTACTAGAATGCTAAGCATGTATTGTGTAAACTACTACTTAAGAGTTGACATACCTTACAGAGACCATCGTCACCACCAGAGAACAGAATATGTGAGCTAGCATCTGCAAAGGCCACTGCATTGATATCGTCCTCGTGTCCATGAACCTACACATTCAAAGAGAATGAAGACAAGAACAACTTTAAAAACCTCTAATCTAATCAGAATGCAGTTTTCACCTATCAATGAGCCCTTGAGTAAGTCTGTAAAATTAATCACATTAGCACATCAATAATCAAGTATCCAAAAGTTGGGAGATCGTGCTGTTTGGAGAAAGAAATTGACTCTCAGAGCTCTATCTTGCGCAGGGTTTGAGAGACTTCACGAAACATTTTTGGCAAGATATATTTAGTGAGTATAATCTTTAATGTGGCTTGTTAAACAACATTATTAATTAATCCATTAATTTTTTTTTTCCTGTTGTTAGCCTAATTTTACAGACTTATTCTAAAGCCCATTTAAGGGGCTGCAAGATTTCTCCTTTTTACCCTTCGTTTTTTTGCCACTCACCCTAAGAGTCCGTTGATTACTTCCACGATCATAAACATATAAAGAGGCATCATTGGCTCTAAAGATAATGCATACAGAAAATAAAAGTCCTACAAGATAATGGAACAACCAAGTGGCCTGTTTACTCTCAGAGCCAAACCCGAGGTTAGTAGCTTTATCCGAGAATTCAATGTAACCCTTCATGAGTGACCATTCAAATGAGATATTTAAGCAGTGCTTTCATGCAGCACTGTTTCTGGTCCTGAATGTAAAGTATGTGGGTAATACCCTATTGTGTAACCATGCACATGTATGTGGCCATTGCACAGTATTTTCCTATGGCACATGTACTGTTTGTTATGCTGTACCAGGCAAGTCTATAGATGAGCTGTGTTTGTTAACCAAGTACTGAGACCCCATTAGGGGTGGGAGGGGGGAAGTGGGATGGGGGGGATATTCCATATCCTGTTTATTTTTTACCTAAATATCCTATATCCCAAAACCCCTAAATATAGTGCCTTGAGTCAGTACTTTCAGGAGGCACATTTTGGAATGCTGTGCAATATGACTCTACCCTTCAACCCTGTTTATAAAACCCTAATGTGTGATCATCCCAATAATCCAAGCTGTTGTATTTTAGTGGTAAGTTTTAACATGGCTTTGTTTATTATGCTGTAAAAGATACTTATATACTTACCATGATGATTGGATTTAGCACCCGTGGTGCTAATTTACTTCAGGCAATTCAAGGGAGGGCACTCATTGGAAGGGGGTGCTTAATATTGAAATAGGGGTGCATTTTTTTTTTTTAAAAAAGCACTTGGGGGGGGGCACTTTTTAGAAACGGGGCACTTAATGGAAGGAGGGTGATAAACAGAATCACAACAGTGACAAACTTTCTTACAATGTGTGGAAGAAACCCTAGTGTGCAACCATTCAAAGGGAAACTATTAAGAAGAACTTTCAAGAGTACCATATACCATACTGTACAAGCTTGTGTTGCCGGAGTTAACCCTGTACCCTGTCTTTTAAGATTTCCAACTGACTTACCCTGCCAAGATTTCCTTATTGTCATGTGAAAACTTAATCGAGAAAGCACAAAATCTTGAGTCCTCTGTACTAAAGGTGTAAAAATCACATACTGTTACTTTATGATTATGTTGGTCAAAAGGCACAGAATGTTAGCCAGACTAATGTTAGGGGCAATACAATAATAATAATAATAAAACAGTAAGGGTTGAGTGAAACATTTAAAAGCACAGAAATAAGCCAGAGGCATAACTTAAAAGCCCTTATTCCTAGCTTCAAGTCCTTGCAAACGTTCACAGTCAAGTGTTTCTGCAACTGTATTGAAACATTTGCAGAACAAATATTAAACAAAATAACCAATATTTATATTTAAATTTGTAAGTCTCAGATATTCAATAGATTTGAAAGTCTAAAATGCAACTCACTTCAAACACAGAGCTGTGTGTGTTTCATAATCTCCATAAATGTTGCAAAGATGAACTAGAATAGAAAAGAAAAAAAAGTGTTACTAAAAAAAACAAGTCCCTAGTTGTTAAAAGAGCAAACAATACAGTTGACTATAATCTAAGTTTAAATTTTGACAGCAAAAATAAATACTATTCAGGAAAATATTAAAAATAACTTGCCATAATCAGACCAGCTTGAATAAATGAGGTACTGTTGATCAGGGCTACAAAATGAAATAGAGGCAAAAATTGGTGTGAGGTAAAAGAGTTACAAACAATCATTTGAACAGTCTGTCATTTATCAATGCTTGTAAGTACTGTGGACAGGTGTGATTGCCTAGACATGGGCCTGCAGATCAATTCAGAGTTCTCACTCACTCACATACTGAGTGAAATAAACAAAGTAATTTTTAGATCTGAAGCCTTAAAGATGATTTCCAGTCC